TTTTTCTTTGTTTAATTTTATTTTATATTTTTTTTTTGTATTTTTTTATATGTTTTTTTTTTAAGTTTAACTGTATCATATTTTATTTTATTTAATCAATATAATTTTTTTTAATCTTAATATAAGGTATTTAACTTTTTTATTAACTTTGTATTTTAATTTTAATTTGTTTTGGTTTTCATTTATTTATTTTAATATTTTCTATTTAGTACTAATTTTTTAATACTTTATTTTAATTTTCTTAGTTTTTTAATTCTATTTAGTTCTTGTACTATTTATTTTTGGACCTATTTATAGTTATATAATGTCACTGTTGCAGCTTCCAGTTTGCTGCGCTTAACGTTGAGGATCTACAATTTCACACGAAACACTTGAAAATACGTTGAACTCAAAAGCGCGACCACGAAGAGGACACTCATATGTGCAAAATACCTTCACACCGGAATATATACATATAAAACCACGCTGGGCTTTCACTTAACACCTCCCACAGTTGCCAGTATTACGAAATTGAAGTGCTTTTACCATAGCTGTTGCAATTCTCACGTAAACCCTTTCATTTAAACTCGTCTCCCATGCAATTGACACCTAGAGGCAACACTGTCTACAAGTAGCTGTTGTTACGTCATAGTGAGGGTCAAGTGGCACAAGCGAGAGATTGATAGTGCCAGAGATTTAATGCAATTTTATTTAATTTAATTTAATTTATTTAAGTGCATTTCCTTCCTTTTAGTGTGCCAATGCGGTTGGGTAGCTTCTACTCTGCACACTTCTGCTGCTGCTGCTATCGCTCAAAAGCTTTCATATATATATGTATGTATCTATGAGTATATGTCACTTCCTAGCTATTTTAAATACCGTTGCATATGAGGTGTTGCTGCTTTTAACTGCTGCCTTTAACATCCTGTTCTCATTTCATTTTCATTTCTCCTGTATCTTTCTACGTCATTCCCTGAAAGTTGCTTTTGTTTTTGCTGCAAAATATTTTTCATTGTAGTTGTATGGCATCATTAATGAGTTCGCACGTCCGCCATGTTGGTGATAGTAGTTGCTGGCATCAGCGACTTTGTTGTTGTTGGCAGTATTACGCGAAATAGGCGACAAAAATATCTCACACATTCATACTTATTGATGTAAATATATTTTTCATTTAACATTTAAATCCACCCGCCGACCCACTTCGTTAGCTGAAATCCGTTTGTTTTTGAATTTCCTCATGTTTACATGTGCATATATAAATATATAGATATTTACATATATAAATATATTCACATATATACGTCATATATATTTCTATTCTATTTCTGTCTGTCTGCCTCTGTGTCTGGCTGGCATTTCGTTTGGTTACTTTTTCGCTGTTATTCACATAATTTATGAGTGTATTTGTTCCAGCACACAACAACAACAACCACTCAGTCACGTAGTTTGTCCTTTACGTCACTACATGACTCTTAGTGTAGAAGCTTTTCTTTCCAAAGCTCTATGTAAAGTTTTCCATGCATACATATTACATATACATACAAAGCTATCGTTAATGCAGAGGAGGTTATCAGAAACAGTCAGGAGGAACCAATTCAAAGAAATTTATGCTCTCAAAGACTAAAACATATTGCGGCTCGTAGAGAGTAGAAAGCTTCAATTGAGATTTATTTTCTGCCACATTTCAATAGAATTTTATGATAAGGTTTTATTCTTCTTTAGTTTAAATTATTCGATATATGCCGATATATGCCCCGTTTTGCTCGATAATTTTTTGTCATTTTGACCCCTTTGGGCGAAAAGCCGGGCAATTTAGTTTCACATCCTTCTCCTGAGCTTAATTCTTTACCAGGCGAATCATTCGCCATAGTCAAGAGTGGATGGTAATCACTTGGTGCCAGACCCGAACTAAAAGATGGATGCATAAGAACATCCCTATGAAGCTCCCGAAGCTCCTCATAAAACCTTTTTGGCCGTCAATCCCGACAAGGTGAATATTTATGCCGGCTCACTGCACATCGAACACCACCGGTTGCTGAAAATGTTCCATTTTTCATCATCAGTCACATTCTGTTTCAGAAATGGACCGTATTTCTTACAATTCAGCAGGGATCCGCAGGTGTAAGATTGGTTCTATAATACATCGAACACCTTTGTGCATCCAACCTTTACCTTTTTCTTCCGTATTGTATTTGTATTTTTTTTTATTTGTATTATTATTATTATCGATAAAAATTAGCAAGAGCATTTTTTGAAATACACTTGTTACTAAATATAGAGTATAAATGGAGTTACAGAATACGACTCTTTTTTGCACCATCGACTAGCTGAGGGTAATGCCTTTGGTACGGTCTGCCGTTTTTTTTTCCAGCACCTGAAAATATGCAATGAATTTTAGTAACTTTGCCTTGGATGCAACTACATTGCTGTACTCGCGAACTTGAAATGAGGAAAATTGTTTACAATATTTTTTGCTTGTTTTGTAAAACTATGTACATATATTATATTTGGGTAAAATATTAATCCAAACGAGTATTTCAAAGGCTTAATTTTGTGTCAAATAAAGCTAGCTATTCATCATACACGTATGTACGTCTATTAAATTTTATAAGCATATGTATGAACACACAAATATATATCTCCTTATTGAGTATATGAAACATAACAACTTTTTGTGGTTTTCATCTTCCTTCCATATATTTTTACTCGAAGTTAGAACTATGAGTGGACTTTATACATCATAATTTAGTTCTTCTTATTAGCAGAGAAATATTTATGATTGCACAAACAATTTTTGAGTAAATAATAAATTAATTGAATATCAGCATTATTTATGGACTTGTAAACCATTTTTTGGTGATTGTTATCACGCAACAAAATTATGACACGATATAATTAATTTATGGGATTGCTTAATTTAATTTAATATTTAGTGTTCATTGTACAGGGTTTAATTTTTATTTTACTTGTTTATTTTGTTTCATTTTATTTCTTCCAATTGTTTTATTTTATTAAAACAAACTATATTTCGCTTATTTCAGTTTTTATTATCTTATTTCGTTTTGATTTATTTTATTTAATTTTCTTCATTTATTTATTTAATTTTTTTTTACCTAATTTCATTTCATTTTATTTTACTAAATGTTGTTTTTCTTTACTTTTTCAATGCATTTAATTTTATTTTATGTTATTTTATTTTATTTTATTTTATTTTATTTTATTTTATTTTATTTTATTTTATTTTATTTTATTTTATTTTATTGTATTTCATTTTATTTTATTTTACTATTATTTTTTTAATTTATTTTGTATTTTTGTCGTTCATGTATTTTAACTTATATTAACATATTTTATTTCTATTTTGTTTTATCCTATTGTGTTTTACCTTATTTCTCTTCACTATATTAAAATTATTTTATTTTATTGCATTTCATTTGCTCAATTTAATTTTATAATATTTTTGTATTATATTTATTTTACTTTATTTTATTCTATTTTATTTTAGTTTAATTTATTTTAATTTAATTTTACTATATTTCACGTCATTTTATTTTATATATATAATTTAATTTTGTTTTATTTTATATATTTTATTTTACTTTTAATTTAAGTTAATTTTATAAAAATTCATTTCATTCTATTTCCTTTTATATTAAATTTTCTTATTTTATTTTTTATGCTGAATTCATTTTATTTTGTTTTGTTATATCTTATTTCATTTTACTTTATTTCTCTTCATATTATTTAAATGATCTTATTTTATTGCATCTCATTTTATTTCATTTGTTCAATTTTTTTTATTATATATATTTAATGTTATTTTGTTTTATTGTACTTAATTTTATTTTTTTATTTTATTTATTTTTATTTTTTTAATTTATTTGATCTGATTTCATTTCATTTCACTTAATGTGCTTTTACTTTACTTTTACAATTTATTTTATTTTTTTTTATTTTAAATAACTTTCTTTTACATTTTTCTTATATAATTTTATTTTATTTTGTTTTATTTTATCGTTACTTATTTTATTTCATTTAATTTAATTAAATTATTTTTGCTTTATTTTATTTTAATTTTATTTAATTTATTTTATTTTCTTTTACTTTTTCTTATTTTATTTTTATTTTACATTATTTCATTTGATTTTATTTTAATAATTAAATTTAATTTAGTTTTATTTTATCTTAATTATTTTCATTTTCCTTTGGTTATATTATATTGTAATTTATTTTATTATTTTTATTTACTTACTTTCATCGTTTTTTTATTTTGATTAATATCATTCCAATTTGGTTTATTTTAATTTTTTTTTATTTATATTATTTTTTTGTATTTAAATTTTATTTTACTCGATTTCATGTATTTTTATTTTATTTTAATTTATTTAACTTTATTTTAGTCAAATTATTCTTTTCTATTTTATTTTATTGCACTTCATTGTGATTATTTTATTTTGTTTTATTTTATTTTACTTTATTTTGATTAATTTTGTTTTATTTTACTCTATTTTTTATTTATATTTTTTTTGTTTTATTCTAGCTTAGTTTTTTTTAATTTTTTTGATATTAATTGTTTTAATTTAAATTTTATTTTACTTTAGTTCACTTCATTTTATTTAACTCATTTTTATTATTTTGTTTCATTTCATATTTCATTTTATTTTATTCCTTTAACCCAATTAATTATTCCTTTTGTGCTCCAAATCAATTTTACTTAGAAGACGATGTCTTTACCTATCACCGTAAGCTCACTCGCTTTATTAAAAATTCAATCTCATAAGAACATAAGAAGCTAATGGTGAAAATGTATATAAAAATTCACTTTAAACGAAGTTCGGCTTTCACATGTGAAATATATTGGGAAAATATGTTTATAGGAAAGTACCACCTGTCTGTGGACTATGGGCAAACAAATTTTTAACTTTAATGAAGTACGAAATTCGTCACTATTATAAAAATTTCTGTAATAATTTCCTGTAAAAAATATATATTACACAAAAGTAAAATAGCAACAGCAACAATTACTGTTATTTATAAAAAGATCTTTATTAAATCCATCATCATCATTACATTTCCTTTACATCTTCGTAATAGTATGTTAATTATCGACTTACAACACTTACATATATAATATAAGTATGTATTTTTATAAAGAGTATTGCATATACATACAAACAAGAACGAATATCGGAGTGTTAAATTGAAATGCTTAAAAAAAAAAAACAAAACTACTATGCGATTGTTGTTTGAAATAAAATGAAATAAAAATTATTAACAAATTTATGTGAGTGTATGAGTGTAATTAAAACTAAGAGAACAAAAAGAATGAATATATATATTTAAATTTTTTTTGGTTTGTATAACGCATACATTTAAAACTAACGATATAACTTTATGAAACAAACAGCCAAACAGCGCTGACAAAATGCGCATGCGTGCAGGAGGCCGCTGGGTAGAGCTAGAGAGTAGAGCAGTAAGTAGAGAGGCGGCTTAGGTAAAGAGCGCAAGCATGCTACACACTTCGTCAACGCTTAGGCTAAGAGAAACAACAAAACTGTATGCCATTTCACGAGTATTTGCTAGGAAAAATAACAAAAAAAATATTTCAAGCAAAATAATTCAAGTCTTTAGAGCTTTAAAGCTTTTCAGCTCGTTAGCTTTGCAGTTTGTAAATAAAAACTATGAATTCGGACCAGTTAAACTGGTATTTCGAGGCGTTGTTGGTTGTCACACGTTAAAAAAAATGATTTTTTTTCGCTTTTCAATTTGCTTAGTTAAAAATTAATGAATTAATTAATCGTAATAAGAATGAGTACATATATAAATCGTAGCGTATGTTAGTCAATATACGAATAGTACAACAACAATAGAGAGAAATTGTATTAAAATCCAATAATAAAACTTAACTGTTAGGTAGTTCAGGCGCGGTAAAGTAGACTACAAAAAAATATATGTGAAAATGAATTTTAATTTCAAAAATTTCTACTTTTGAAAGCAATTGCTTTTTACGCAACAACACTGCCGCACGCTACTCAATGGACAATCTGCGATCATATTCGCCACTTTATCGTCAAAAACAAAAGATTTTAACTTTTCCCCTCTAAATTCTTTTATTACTAACTAACACCCCCTAAAAATCATCATTCTTCATTCTTAGTATTAACAAAAAAATGCTTTGGATCGCTTCGTTTCATAATTCCTTTTCGTTCCTTTTCTTACCACCTTTCACCTTCACTGCCAACTCTCATATTTAATGCGATGGTGCACCATATGATGAGCTGGGTGCTGATGGTGCCGACGGTGGAGCTGGTGCACCATAATCGCCAGATGGTGGTGGCGCAATACTGTTGGGATATGGACCGGTCTCTTCCTTTTGTGTCTTGTAACGGATGAAGTATACTTCGGGTTTGCTGGGTTGTGTTGGTGCTGGTGTGGGAATGACAATATCGGGTTGTTCTTCGGGTTTCTTCACCAACACATAGACCAGTGTCTTTTCTTCGTTTTGTGGCAACACTGGTATGACAGGCGCTGTTGGTGCAGGTGGTGATGGCGCTTTAATGAAGACGATTTTGTAGTGCTTTTGTGGTGGTGGGAAGACAATGGGTTTTCTGCAAAGATTCAAAGGGGTAAAGATACAGTTAATAAAAAATCCAATACTCTATATAAATAAAAAATTATATAAATTTATTTTATGCAAAACTTTAAGCTAATTTAATAAATCTCACTAAAAACTATGTATAAACCACAGAAACGAGTCTTTCTATGGGTTTTCTGGATACTTTTTGGAGTTTTGCTGAACCTCCTGAAAAATTATCTGGAAAGCTTTCAAAGACCATTACTGTGTTGCAAAGTCCTAACAAAAATTTATGTGATAGCGTTTTAAACAAGCTTCAAAAGCTTTAGTTTTTCTGAGCTTTCATTGAAATATCGCTTTTCTGAAATTTGTAAAATAAAAATGGTATGAAAGCCTTAGAGCTTTCAGAAAAATATTTTCTTTGTTGTTCAAGCGGTTATTAAGAGCTTTCGAGCCTTTTGCGATTCATTAGTATGCTACAGTTTTTTTTATTGCCATAAAAAAATAAAAATAAAATCGAGACTACTTTCTACTTTTGTTTCCATTAAAGGGTCTTTACTATAGCCTTATGGATTTAGCTCTTAATTTCAAAGCTCCCATTTGTATTATAATTTTTGTTAACGCTAGTTTTAAAAGCTTTGGAGCTTTTCCCTTTTCCAAGCAAATTAGTTTAGTTTTTGTAAAAAGCTTTGAACGGATATGCGAATGTTATGTTTAAACTGAATGATCAGTGCAGTTCAACAATTTGCTTTCTTGGTGAAAGTTATTTTACTCGAAAGCTTTAAAGTATTAGATTTAGTAAAAGCTTTTGATTATAAGCTATTGAGTTTTAAAAAAATGTAACAGTTGGAAGTTTTAATTATGCAAATAGATGAAATTAATTTTTACAAAATTATTAGCTAAAAGCTTGCGAAGGATTTTTTTTCAAAAGCTCATAAATTTAAATACTGCAATTTAAATTAATTTAAGTGATTTTTGTTAATATTTCAACTTATTGAGCTTTGGCGTTTAGAGCTTTTTATTTTTAAAAGCTCCTTGAGAGCTTGTAGTGGAAATTATTGAAAGCAAAATCCGAAAACCATTGCTCCTTTGTGCTGTTGTGCGAAAAAGTGTGATATTAGTAAAAAAAAAAAAAGTAATTCGAAAGAAGTTTTTGTAAGCTTTCGATCTTCAACATTATAATTAATCATAATATATTGTATTTTATTGTAGCAGGCTTGATATATTTAAAGAAAAAAGTTTTTGAGCTTTAAAGCCACCTTCAGGAAACGTTTTATAGCCTACAAAACCACAAAGCTCTTTACCAAAGCAGTTTCGATGGCTTTTTCTTTGAATTCATTCTAATGCTAAACGCTATGGGTATCAAATGAATCAGAAAATCATCTAGAATTTAAAATCATTATTTTTTTAGTTATTGTATAAAATATAACTAAATATGTAGTACAATTTCACCATGAGATGCATCAAAGCCCATATATGCGAAGAGTCGGTTTGTGTTATTTTTCATTAAAAAAAAAAAACAATATTTACATTTTGCAACATTAATTAGCCAACATTTTTACTTTACTTTTTTTTTATTTTTATTACATTTTCTTAATATATTTTTAATGGACTTTCCACAGTGGCTTATCTCATATAAATCTATCTTGCTACACGACTCACATCAAAGTCTTCAATGTGCCTCGTAGACTCGTAGACTCGTATATTTACATACATAAATATGTATATTCCATAATTATTCCGCCCTCCAGTCACCGCCTACTCAACATTAATGATTGTCACGCTCAAGCTCTGTGTGAACAGGCACTGAACTAATGATCGTTACACATTTAAGCATAGTGTCATTTATTTAAATTTTTTTATTATTATCTTATCTTGTTTTCTACTTTTTATTATGCCACAGCGACGTCAAGTCTTCAGGCAACAAGTTAAGTCAAGTGATTGCCACCTGCGGCGGAGCGTAGCAGACCAGAGAGCGTTGTATGCAAATGAGCCAACAACACCTCATATTGTCGATGAAATCATTTAGTATTGTTTTTGTTTGTTTTTTTTTTTTTTTGTTCTTTTTCTATTGTTTATTGCTTCAGCTTAACTACTCAGGCTACTCAATTCATTAGAGTCAATTGTGTGAGGTAGCAAATTAACCGCAAAAAATGAAGAAAAGCGAAAAAAAAAATAAAAATAAAAAGAAAAATGAGAAAATGAATTATGATGTGGGCAATATGAACATTTGTAACTACAACGTTAAACATAGGCTTCTATTTTTCACAAAGTATTGATGCTGCAACAGCGAAGTACCAGAAGGGCTGAGGCTCGTAGAAATGTGTGTGCATACATTTGTCTATGACAACAATAGCTTTGTGTCACATATAATTTTTCCTCCAAAGTTGCGTGTGGCAATACTTGTACTAATTTATAATGCGCTCAATGCGTTTGTACTTGCTTATTAATTTAGTTGTTTTTTTTTTTAAGATTTCTTTTTCTGTATATTTTTTAGTATCGTTTTTGGTTTTATCTCTACATAGCCATTCATTTCATTGTTCATATAAGCCACGTTTGTTGTTTTTCTTATTTTTTCAACAACATCTCTACCGCTCTCGCAACTGATACTCCCCCTGCATTTATGGGCTTACTTTTGCCCAAACATATAATCTGTCTGCTGTTTGCAATTTTATCCTGTTATGTTGGGTTAGGAAAGTGCCTCGTGTTTATCTACTAGCAACATATAACGCCAACGCTCATCTTTCGCTCCGTAGCAGGTAGGTTTTAGCTGATGTTGCAACTACTGTTTGGTCTACCAAGCATGCCACACACCGTGTAAAATTTGCATGTTGCAAATTTATGTGATTTTTCCCAGCATCTTAAATGCGTCAGCTGGGAGTGTCACGCATGGTACCTTTAATTGGATTTATCTTTGTTTCAGAGAATGAACGAACAGAGGAGGAGCTGTGCGCATGAGCGCAGAAATCACTGCGCAGACGCAGCCGCTAGTTATTTTGTAATTATTATGTTATGATATGCGTTGTGTGGCTCTAATATTTAGTTGTGGAATTAGTTGCGCTATATGTTTGTGGCTATCGCTTTCGCAAGCGCTCTAGTTTTGATTTCGTGAGCTTTTTATTTTACTACAGTTTAAAATATTTTTTTTTTTAATTTCTTTTTTTTTTTTTTTGCTTGATTCTATTTTTGTTTACTTTTATTCAGTTTTTTATAAAATTTAGTTTAATTTTTATTCTTAGTGTTAATTAATTTTTTTTTTTGTCAATTTAATTTAATTCTTCTTTATTTTTTTGATTTATTTTTTATACCTTTTTTTATACTAAATTAAATTGATAAAAATTAGATGTTTTATTTTATATTTTATTTTATAATTTATTTTATTTTATTTTTTTATTTAATTTTTATTATTTTTATTTTTAATATTTTTTTAGTTGTATTAAATAATATATTTCAACTAATTAAAAAAATTGTATTTCTTTTGTTTTTTTTTTAGGTTTTTTACTTGTTATTTTATTTTCGTGTTTCATGTTATTTTATTTAATTTTTTTATCTAATTAATATATGTACGAGTATATTGTTTTATTATGACAAATTTTTTTATCTGTTTTAGTTTACATTATATATGTCATCATTGGCGCTTTGTAACCGCGGAAACGATTATCAGCCGAGTACGCTCTTTTTTTTGTGTTTTGCGTCTTTGATGTTTTTCCTACAAATTTAGTTCATATTTTTTTATTTTATTTACACTTTGCTTCATCTAGATATGATTTACCTCTATTTTATTTAATATTTTTTATATTTTATTTTGCTTTGAATATTTTTTAAATTAATGTTATATATTTCATTATTTTTATACGCCAATTTAATTATTATTATTTTTCATTTATATGCTCTTTGCGTAATACTAAAATATTTTTTTAATTCATTTGACCTTAAGTTTTCTCCTTATTTGCTTTATTTTATTTAATTTCGCCTTTTATTTAATATACATTTAATAAATGTAAATTTTTTAATAGTTTTTTAATAAATTATTTCCTTTTTTTTAATTTGCTTAAATTTATACTAATATATTCATTTGTTTTTTTTATATTTATTATATTTAATCTGATTTTACTTGTTGTTTTGTTGTTTTATTTTATTAATTTTTTTTTAAATCTCTTTTTATTTTGTTTTGTTTTATTTTTCTTAAATTTTTTTTTAAAAATATCTTGATTTAGTTAACTTTTTTTACTTCATTTAATTTTATGTTTTAGTTTTTTTAATTTATTTTAAATATTTCCATGTATTTAATTTTTTTTTTCTATTTTATATATATTATATTATAAAAATATTATTATTATATTATATATATATATTATAATTATATATTATAATTTGAATAATTATTTCATTTCATTGTACTTTATTAATTTTATATTATTTTATTTTATTTCATTTTATTTCATTTTATTTCATTTTATTTCATTTTATTTTATTTTATTTAATTTGATTTAGTTTAATTTTATTTTATTTTATTTTATTTTATTTGATTTAATTTAATTTAATTTAATTTAATTTTATTTTATTTTATTTTTTTATTTTATTTTATTTTATTTTATTTTATTTTATTTTATTTTATTTTATTTTATTTTATTTTATTTCTTTTTATACTTTTTTATTTTTTTGTTTTGTTTTATTTTATATTATAATACTTTATTGTATTTTTAATTTATATCTTATTATTATTATATTTTTTAATTAATATTTCCATTTTTTTTAATTTATTTTATTCCATTTGCTTTCATTTGCATATTTTAATATTATGTTTTAATTTATTTTTATTTATTAACTAATTTTTTCAATTTTCTAATTTTATGCATTTAATTAACTCAATTTAATTTTATTTCATTTTATTCAGCAACTTTTTGTGCACTCAGCTGTGAAAGAGTCGTAAATGTCGAACAAAATGAAAGTATTTATTTACAAATATACACATAAGTTGCGATTAATATGATATCGTTTGTCATCTTAGCTTAATATCTGAGCGTTGTTGTT